AGAGTGGCATGGATTGCGCCGTGGAATGCCCGCATTCGCAAGACCGGCACGTGTGAATGTGATGAAGATGCGTGCACTGTGTCTTAACGCCTACGCCTTTACAGTCTTGGGGGCGTCTGTGAGTAGTGGTTTGGTGTAGAGAGCCAGTTTGGTGTAGTGGTTAAGTGTGCGGACGCTAATCTGGGAGAACCGGGTTTGATTCCCCACTCCTCCACTTGCACTTGCTGATGTGACCTTGGGTCAGTCACAAGCTCTGGCACAGCTGTTCTTGACAGAGCAGTTTGTGTCAGAGCTCTCTCAGCCCCACCCACCTCACAGGGTGTCTGTTGCGGGGAGGGGAAAGGAATTTGGAAGCCACTCTGAGACTCCAAGTGAAGGGCGGGGTATAAATCCAATCCAATCTCTTCTTCTTCTACTACTGTATTGATACGTTTGAGGAGCTCCCGGTTCCCATAAACGTCCCTACAATATTATACACGGGTTTAAACTCGTCCGTACGTGTGGAACCCTGTGCCTGGGTTTCTCAGATTTCTGCAGTCGCAGCCAAATTGAATGTAACTTGGGGGGGTGGGCGGGTGGTGGTGGTGCTGGAAGCCGCCTTCTGGCGACCCCTGGTGGGCCTTCGAGGCAAGAGACGAACAGAGCTGGTTTGCCCTTGCCTGCCTCTGCGTCCTGACCCTGGACTTCCTTGGTCGTCTCCCATCCAACTGTTAACCACCTCAGGGCCTACTTGGCTTTCCAGGCCTGACCGGATCCGGCTAGCCGGGGCCGTGGAGGGCAGGGCAAATTTGTTGGGTATTACAAGTTGAAAACACTCAGTATATCTGGGGTTAAATGTTTGTTTCTGTTACTCACAGGAAGTCACATGTTTCTCATGTAACCAATGTTCTTTAGCTGTAGGATGCCCGGGAATTTTCTCCCTGATCTAGGAATTTGATTGGGACTAAAGTGTCAAGGTGTATTAGCATTTCATGGCTTCTCTTCCCGTCTTTGTTTTTGTGTTCTGAAGAAGAAGGAGAGCAGCCATACTCTCTCCTCTCTTCTAGTTTTGTCTTTTGTAGTGTAAGGATGTGGCCGATTATGCTCTGTTGTCATTTTCATCCCAGTTACCCTTCCCATGCTAGAATTTAGTAAAAACTTTCTATTTTAATCACACATGGACTCTCAGTCTGAATTATTTTACTCCGGCTCTGCTGGGCTATCTTATCTCTGCCAAATACCATTTTTTCAATATCTCACTATCACCCAACAAAATTTAATTTACACTGTCGAATTAGGGCAGAGCCTCCGCTTCGCACGCCCAGAAGGTCCCAGGGTCAATCCCCAGCATCTACAGCATCGCATCGGGGCAGGTGACATTGAAAGACCTCCGCCGGAGACCCTGGAGAGCCGCTGCCAGTCTGAGTAGACGAGACTGACCTTCAGGGACCAAGGATCTGATTTGGTATAAAGAAGTCCCATGTGTTCAGCGTTTGGGGGAAAGGTGGGGGCGTGGCTCGGTTTTCGAGCCTCTGCTGGGCATGCAGAAGGTCCCAGGTTCAATCCTTGGCGTTTCCGGTTAAAAGGACCAGGCAGGAGTTTGATGAGAAAGGCCTCAGCCTGAGACCACTGCCTGTTGTTGGGTATTACAAGTTGAAAACACTCAGGCAGTATATCTGGGGTTAAATGTTTGTTTATATCGCTCACAGGAAGTCACATGTTTCTCATGTAACCAATGTTCTTTAGATGTGGATTGCCCGGGAATTTTCTCCCTGATCTAGGGATTTGATTGGGAGGGACTAAAGTGTCAAGCCATTTTATGGGGACAGGGTCGTTCTGGCTTTTACCCTGTCCCCATTTTATGGCTGCTCTTCTCTTGACACAGAAGCTTTGTGGGGGCGCCACAAAGTTGGGAAAAGGGTGACAACCTTAGTTTGTACAGTCTATTGTGTTATCAATCCAATGAATAAATCTTTGTATTGCTGCAGCCTGCATTGTCTATCTGGTCAGACAGGTCAACAACTAAAACGGACGGGGGTCAGTGTGGAAAGGAGGGGGGGCACCAAGATCGGTCAGTGCTTCCGGCTCCAGTGAGCCTTCACCCGCCCCTGGCTTTCGTGCCCATGCACTCTTCTTCATATGGTTTGGCCTCTGAGAACTGGGCTGCTGCTCTCGCCTGGGTATCAGGTTTCGCCTGCATGCATGGGAAATCTGGCAGGGCTCTTTTTGCAGCAGGTACTTATTTGCATATTAAGCGACACACCCCTAAGGTAGCCAATCCTCCAAGAGCTTACAGTAGCTCCTGTAAGAAGAGCTCTGTAAGCTCTTGGAGGATTGGCTACATTAGGGGGTGTGGCCTAATATGCAAAGTGAGTCCCAGACTGTTGGTCTTAAAGGTGCCCCCTAGTCTGAGACGTTGTTCTGCTGTGCTGCTTCAGACCAACACGGTTATCTCACTGGAGTGCAACCATAACATGCTGATAGATCCAGGTGGGGTCGCGGACACGGTCTGAAGCCGCAGAGCGAAGTTTGGGTCCAGTGGCACTTTCGAGACCAACCAAGTTTAATTCTGGATAACAGCTTCCGTGCGCATGCGCCTTTCTTCGTATGGTATGTGAAGAAGCGTGCATGCGCACGAAAGTTGATCCCCCAGAATCAATGGGGATCTTGTGAGCAAAAATTCTACTTTGTGAGCTGCTGGCATTCAAGTGGTGAGCGAGCGAGCATAAAGGAGTCTGCTCTGGAGACGTTCCTTCCTGAGCTAAGACAAAAAATGTGTGAGCTGTTGGGTATTACAAGTTGAAAACACTCAGGCAGTATATCTGGGGTTAAATGTTTGTTTATGTTACTCACAGGAAGTCACATGTTTTTTCTTGTAACCCATGTTCTTTAGCTGTAGAATAACCGGGAATTTTCTCCCTGATCTAGGGATTTGATTGGGACTAAAGTGTCAAGGTGTATTAGCATTTTATGGCTCTCTTCCCGTCTTTGTTTGCTGTTCTGAAGAACAAGAAGAGTAGCCATACTCTCTCTCTTCTAGTTTTGTCTTGGTAGAGTCAGGACGTAGCAGATTTTGCTCTGTTGTTATTTTCATCCCAGTTACCCTTCCCCATGCTAGAATTTAGTAAAAACTGTATATTTTCATCACACATGGACTCTCAGTCTGAATTATTTTACTCTGGCTCTGCTGGACCATCTTATCTCTGCTAAATACCAATTTTTCAATATCTCACTATCACCCAACAGGAACACTGCCCAGAATTAAACTTGGTTGGTTTTTAAAGTGCCACTGGACTCGAACGACATAGATATGTCTTTATATTTGTGTTCAGGGGTCATAGACATGTGAGCGCGCCTGTTAGCACCAGTCCCCACCCGCCCTCTAGATATCTAGATGGACCCAGAGAAGCGGTTCTCTCAAGGGCATGGAGGATCCAGGGAGGCCACGGCGCATGATCCATGTCCAGATCGCTGCTGGAACCCGCCCCGAAGAGGAAAGTCAAACCCTGGCTTCTCTTGCCTGCGAAAGTGTCTTCCTTCGCGGATACGACGACCTGGGGCCCTTCCTTGTTCTTCTGAATCTACCAGCATGAAACAAAGAAAAGGAAAAAAAAGAATTAACCTTCCCGGTGCACCCCACGTCGCGCGTTCCTAAGAACCCTTTCACGAGAGTAGACCAAGCGAGAAGGATTGCTCTCCCAGAGACACAACAGGGGCATTCAGCGAGAGAACCGCAGCCGCCGGAAGGTGCCCGTGGGCGCTGGGTTGGGGAAGTGGGGGATATACCTTTAACCTTCCCAAACGGAGCTCCTTTTCTGAGGAACTCATATGGGCAGGGGGGCGACGTACCCTAAAGCGTTTGTTGTTTTAGGAGATTGCAGGGAGAATATCCCATTGAGCTGGATCTGGGTGTTTGCGAGCTTCTTCTCCAGGGGAGGAAAGAAACCCCCACTTCACTCAGCCCTGGAGCCCGTGCGGGTAATTAAGACGGGAGAATCCGGGGGGGGGGGGAGAGAGAACGGACCCAGCCAAAGTACAAACGGAGAATCGCCATTTGGAAGGCTCTGCGAAGCCCGCTTGTTTTCCAGCCCTCCCGAGGAGAAAACCGACAGCAAGAGAGAGCGCGAGAGCGCAGCCGGCCCCTCCCCTTGCGGTTCCCAGTTGCAGAGATTTTAGAAGCAAGGAAACGTTGGAGGCTGGAAGCCATGCCCTCTGCCCCGCAAAGTCCTTTCTGTGGCGTCCGGGCTCTGCGCTCTCTCAGCCGCCTGCAGGTGTGAACCTGCCAGTGATTCACACCCTCGCCCAGGGAAGGAACTTGGACTCTGAGGAGCTCATATCCCCCCCCCCCCAAATAAGAGCATGAGAAGAGCCCTGCTGGATGAGGCCAGTGGTCCACCTAGTCCAGCATCCTGTCTCACACAGTGGCCAACCAGTTCCTCTGGAGGGCCCACAACAGGGCATAGAGGCCTTCATAAGAACATAAGAGGAGCCCTGCTGGATCAGACCAGCGGTCCATCTAGTCCAGCATCCTGTCTCACACAGTGGCCAACCAGTTCCTCTGGAGGGCCCACAACAGGGCATAGAGGCCTTCATAAGAACATAAGAGGAGCCCTGCTGGATCAGACCAGCGGTCCATCTAGTCCAGCATCCTGTCTCACACAGTGGCCAACCAGTTCCTCTGGAGGGCCCACAACAGGGCATAGAGGCCTTCATAAGAACATAAGAGGAGCCCTGCTGGATCAGACCAGCGGTCCATCTAGTCCAGCATCCTGTCTCACACAGTGGCCAACCAGTTCCTCTGGAGGGCCCACAACAGGGCATAGAGGCCTTCATAAGAACATAAGAGGAGCCCTGCTGGATCAGACCAGCGGTCCATCTAGTCCAGCATCCTGTCTCACACAGTGGCCAACCAGTTCCTCTGGAGGGCCCACAACAGGGCATAGAGGCCTTCATAAGAACATAAGAGGAGCCCTGCTGGATCAGACCAGCGGTCCATCTAGTCCAGCATCCTGTCTCACACAGTGGCCAACCAGTTCCTCTGGAGGGCCCACAACAGGGCATAGAGGCCTTCATAAGAACATAAGAGGAGCCCTGCTGGATCAGACCAGCGGTCCATCTAGTCCAGCATCCTGTCTCACACAGTGGCCATAATTAAATGGAATACCAGATAAAAAGCGGTGGCACAGCAATATGTGTTAACAAGAAAAAAATGCATGTGCCCAAATTCAGCCACCAAAACCCAATGATTTATAGGTTTTATAGAGATAACATATACAATACTCAGAACAAATCTTCCTGTGAACACAATTAAATAGACAGGTAGAAATTCACAGATAAAGTTTTTTCATGAACATCTTTGTAATAATTAAATTCAAAAAACATCCTTCAACTGCGGGATGTGATAATGCCTCTGCCAGCCGACTTGACAGACCCCCGGTTATAAATCTGTTTCAATAATTCCTTTCAAGAATCATGCTGTATTCAACATTTCATAGATACGTGTAAACATCCACAAAGTATACTCAGATACAGCAATCCTGTTGGGTATTACAAGTTGAGAACACTCAGTATATCTGGGGTTAAATGTTTGTTTATGTTACTCACAGGAAGTCACACGTTTCTCATGTAACCAATGTTCTTTAGATGTAGGAATGCCCGGGAATTTTCTCCCTGATCTAGGGATTTGATTGGGACTAAAGTGTCAAGGTGTATTACCATTTTATGGCTTCTCTTCCAGTCTTTGTTTGCTGTTCCCAAGAAGAAGTAAGAGTAGAATTGCTCTCTTCTAGTTTTGTCTTTGTAGTGTAAGGATGTAGCCAATTTAGCTCTGTTGTTATTTTCATCCCAGTTACCCTTCCCCATGCTAGAATTTAGTAAAAACTTTCTATTTTAATCACACATGGACTCTCAGTCTGAATTATTTTACTCAGGCTCTGCTGGGCTATCTTATCTCTGCTAAATACCATTTTTTTCAATATCTCACTATCAAAACCCAACAAATCCTCAGTGATTCCCAATGGAAAATCAATCATTTCTTGGAACCTCGCTTCAAATGTCAGAAGCATGTCCCCACGACACCATTTTCATTAGAGGGCCAACAACAGGGCATAGAGGCCGAGGCCTCCATAAGAACATGAGAAGAGCACTGCTGGATCAGACCATTGGTGCATCTAGTCCATCATCCTGTCTCACACATTGGCCAACCAGTTCCTCTGGAGGGCCCACAACAGGGCATAGAGGCCCAGGCCTTCCCCTGATGTTGCCTGCCTTCTGGCTCTGGGATTTAGAGGATGACTGCTTCTGAATATGGTGGTTCCCTCTAGTCACCATGGCTGGTCTCTAAGGTTATACCGGCCTCCGATCAAGCTACACTCACTTAAAATCCTTTTCAGCCTTCCGTCATTGTGGTACACCAGTGGAAACACCAACGCTGTTCGAAATATTCGTGTATGGGATTCCCGGATGGCCATGCAAGAAAACCAGTATACTGCTGTTTCTCAAACTTCCTGATGTTCACAGGTGATTTCTTGTCCTCCTTCGGGACACAGCCAAGCCTGTCCGGGATCAGATGTTAACGTCTGGATCCTAAAGGTTGGTAAGATCCAGCCAGAGCGAGCACTCTGAAGTCTCCCTACTTATGGGAAAGATCTCCATTATTTCAATTCAGTCGAGTAGGACTGGATTGTCCTGAAATCCAGCTCGATCCCGTTCTGTGTTTACCCAGAAGTAAATCTCTCAAACCAATCACCCCCCTTAGATGGCTTTTGGGAAAACATCAGTGGATTCAGGGCCAGTTGGTTAGCTTAAATGGAACCTCCAAGTTCAGAGGCAGTTTTGCCTCTGTGAACTGGGCTGCTGCTCTCTCCTTGCTCCTATAAACTTCAGTAACAACTAGCCATGGTGACTAAAGGGAACCTCCATGCTCAGAAGCAGTCAACCTCTGAATCCCAGTGCCAGGAGGCAACATAAAGGGAAGGCCTCTCTGCCATGTTGTTGGACATCCAGAGGAACTGGTTGGCCACTTTGTGAGGCAGGATGCTGGACTAGATGGACCACTGGTCTGATCCATATGTCTTATGGAGGCCTATATGACCTGTTGCTGGCCCTCCAGATAAACTGGTTGGCCACTGCGTGAGATGGGATGCTGGACTAGATGGACAACTGGTCTGATCCAGCAGGGATAATGTTGTTATGAAGGCCTCTGCCTCTATGCCCTGTTGTTGGCCCCTCCAGAGGAACTGATTGGCCACTGTGTGAGACAGGATGCTGGACTAGATGGACCACTGGTCTGATCCAGCAGGGCTCTTATGTTCTTATGGAGGCCTCTGCCCCTCTGCCCTGTTGTTGGCCCTCCAGAGGAACTGATTGGCCACTGTGTGAAACAGGATGATGGACTAGATGCACCACTGGTCTGATCCAGCAGGGCTCTTCTTGTGTTCTTATGGAGGCCTCAGCTTCTATGCCAAGTTGTTGGCCCTCCAGAGGAACTGGTTGGCCACTGTGTGAGACATGAGGCTGGACTAGAAGGACCACTGGTCTGATCCAGCGGAGCTCTTCTTATGTTCTTATGAAGGCCTATATGACCTGTTGCTGGCCCTCCAGATAAACTGGTTGGCCGCTGTGTAATCTTTCATTAAAATCTGCCTCCATTCCTGAGGACTGGAAGGTAGCTAATGTGTTGGGTGTTACAAGTTAAAACACTTTTCAGTATTTACTGGGTTAATGATGTTTGTTAAGTCACGTGTTTGTTTGTATCCAATCTGTTTTAGACAGTTAGAAAGCCCGGCAATTTCAAAGCTAGTTTGTTGTTCTGATTGGAGACCAAAGTGCCAAGCATTAGCATTTTATGGTTTCTCTTCCCGTCTTGTGGTTCTTTGTTCTGAGGAGGAAGAAGAAGCCTCTCTTCTGCCATTTTCAGTCTAGCTGTAAGGATGTAGGCATATAAACTCGTTGTTATTTTATATCCCGTGTACCTTTTTCCCCATGCTAGGTTGTAGTAAACTTTTATTCTTTTAAACACACCATGGACTCTGCCTCTTTAAAACTCTGCTAAAAAAATTTAAATCAAAAAGAATCCCAACATAATGTCACTCCCATCTTTAAAAGGGGTTCCAGAGGAGATCTGGGAAATTACAGGCCAGTCAGTCTAACGTGGATACCGGGTAAGTTGGTGGAAACTGTTATTAAGGAAAGAATTAGTAAGCACACTGATGAACAAAAACTACTGAGGCAGACTCAGCACGGGTTCTGTAAGGGAAGATCTTGTCTCACTAACCTGTTAGTGTTCTTTGAGGGAGTGAACATAGTGAACAAACATGTGGACAAGGGGGACCCAATAGATGTTGTTTACCTTGACTTCCAGAAAGCTTTTTATAAGGTTCCTCATCAAAGGCTCCTAAGTAAGCTCAATAGTCACGGGATAAAAGCACAAGTCCTCTTGTGGATCAAAAACTGGCTAATTAATAGGAAACAGAGTATAAATGGGCAATTTTCACAGTGGAGGGTGGTAAGCAGTGGGGTACCACAGGGATCAGTACTGGGTCCGATGCTTTTTAACTTGTTTATTAATGATTTGGAGTTGGGAGTAAGAAGTGAAGTGGCTAAATTTGCAGATGACACGAAGCTGTACAGGGTGGTGAGAACCAGGGAGGATTGTGAGGCACTCCAAAGGGATTTGTCGAGGATGGGCAAGTGGGC